TGAAGGATGAGTGAGGATGTTACAGTACTGGAAGTGGGAAGTACAGTGACTGTACTGTGAAGGATGAGTGAGGATGTTACAGTACTGAAGTGGGAAGTACATTGACTGTACTGTGAAGGATGAGTGAGGATGTTACAGTACTGGAAGTGGGAAGTACAGTGACTGTACTGTGAAGGATGATGTGAGGATGTTACAGTACTGGAAGTGGGAAGTACAGTGACTGTACTGTGAAGGATGAGTGAGGATGTTACAGTACTGGAAGTGGGAAGTACAGTGACTGTACTGTGAAGGATGAGTGAGGATGTTACAGTACTGGAAGTGGGAAGTACAGTGACTGTACTGTGAAGGATGAGTGAGGATGTTACAGTACTGGAAGTGGGAAGTACAGTGACTACTATAATAATAATAATAATAATTTTTATTTTGACATGATACATAGTTATACCAAAGAATATAATAGTTGGGTGTACGTGCCAAAAGTCCCTTTGTATGCAGAGCATTGCAGGCAAACTTAATATTAACTTTAAGTTCAGGAAGGCAGTAACAGATTATTATTTGGGTATTGGATATCTGAGTACAGTAATTGCAGTTTTAAATCTAGCGTATAAAACTTACATAATTACAAATAGTGCTACAGTTTGGGTTAATTTATAATATGGTAATACATCTCAATGGAGCAGTTTAACCCTTTGACTGTTTTGGTCGTATATATATGTCTTACGAGGTACCATGTCTGATGTATACGTATATACAGTGGACCCTCAGCTAACGATGGCATCACCTAACATTAAATCCAGCTAACGATACATTTTAATGCAAAAACTTTGCCTCAGCTAATGCTAAAAAACTCCCCCTATGCGATTCGTTTGAGACGCGTCCACGTGTAGCCTGAGCGCGCCAGTGTTTACAAGCCAGCCAGTGCGGTCACATCCATGCATACAATCGGAACATTTCATATTATCACAGCGTTTTTAGTGATTGTACCTGCAAAATAAGTCACCATGGGTCCCAAGAAAGCTTCTAGTGCCAACCTTGCAGGAAAAAGGGTGAGAATTACTATGGATATGAAGAAAGAGATTAAGGAAATGTGTGCAATGTGGGTTGAAGTGCAAACCTTTATGGATGAAAATCACCCTCACACAGCTATTGCAAGCCGTGCTGGTGACTATTACAATGACAATGTTGTGAACCACTTTAGACAAATCATAAAGGAACGGGAGGTACAGGCCTCTATGGACAGATATGTTGTGTGACAGAGGTCCAGTGACACTCAAGCTGGTCCTAGTGGCATTAAAAGAAGAAGGGAAGTAACCCCGGAAAAGGACTTGATACATCAAGTCCTAATGGAAGGGGATTCCCCTTCTAAACATTAACAACTTCCACACTCTCCCCTCCTCCCATCCCATCAATCATCACCAGATCTTCAATAAAGGTAAGTGTCAGTTTGTGTGTATTAAAATTAATATTTCATCTGGTAAATTTTTTTTTCATACTTTGGGGTGTCTTGCACGGATTAATTTGATTTCCATTATTTCTTATGGGGAAAATTAATTCAGCTAACGATAATTTCAGCCAATGATGAGCTTTCAGGAACGGATTAATATCGTTAGCTGAGGGTCCACTGTACTCATAAATTCTAGCGGCTTCAAATCAAGCAGGAGAAAGCTGGCAGGCCCATTTGTGAGAGAATGGGTCTGTGTGGTCAGTGTGTACCATATAAAAAAATCCTGCAGCATGCAGTGCACAATGAGAAAAAAAAAAACTCCGACCGTTTTTTTTAATTAAAATGCCGACTTTGTGGTCTATTTTCGTATAGTATTTATGGTTGTATTCTTGTTTTCTTGGTCTCATTTGATAGAATGGAAAACATATTATAGAAATGGAGGTGATTTTGATTGGTTTTACTATGAAAAGAACCTTGAAATTTAGCCCAGGGGAAATGTTTGATATTTGCCGATGTTCAAAAGTAAACAAATGATGTCATTGTCCAATAAATGTCAACTAGCCACTCTAATATGCAGTCATGAATGGGTTGACATTGTGTATACAATTATTACAATATTGCAGTAGTCTGGAAACATAAACACATATGCAGTTTAATGTGATCCTTTATTGACAACGTTTCACCCACACAGTGGACTTTTTCAAGTCACAAACAGATCTGTTTGTGACTTGAAAAAGTCCACTGTGTGGGTGAAACGTTGTCAATAAAGGATCACATTAAACCGCATATGTGTTTATGTTTCCATATTGTCGATATTTTATACCATTTATTGTCATTGCAGTAGTCTGCATAACAGTAAATCTTCTATTTTTTGTTTGAATAAAAATTCAAAATAGAAAGCAAGAGTAATATCAGAGGGGCCTGGAGACATGACTGATGAATAAAGAAAATGTTATTTTAGAGCCAGGAATGTCTGCATTGTTCATTCTGGACACTATTTTGAAATTGTCATATTTTTTAATTTTTGTGAAATTGGCCAAATTGCAAATTTCTGACCACATTATTGGATATTTGAAATCGGTAAATGGGCAGTTTCTTGTACTCAATCGATAGAAAAAATGGAGTTCTAAAGAAATAGCTATGAGTTTGGTCAACTGGAACAATGGAATTAGCTGAAAATAGGGCTCAGAGTGGATGAAATCGCCGATTTGTAAATATCACCGAGAGCGTAATTCCGCCGGTTTTCCATCAAATTTTTTTTTTTGGTGTCATTACAATTGGGAAAAGATTCTCTATCATTTCATAAGAAAAAATAATTTTTTTTTTTAAATTTTTGCGACACCAGGAGACACCTCACGATTGGAGGTTGCGACAGTCAAGGGGTTAAAAGCAGTTTACAATAACAGATAATTATATGGACATTATTACAAGTAATGCTACAAGTGGAATAATAATAATAATAATAATAATAATAATAATAATAATAATAATAATAATAATAATAACAATAATAGTTTATTAGGACATGATACATAGTTGTACAAGGTATTATAGTAGTTGGGTGTACATGTCAAGAGGAAGGATGGGTGAGGATGTTACAGTACTGTAAGTGGAAAGTACAGTGATTGTACTGTGAAGGGTGAGGATGTTACAGTACTGGAAGTGGGAGGTACAGTGACTGTACTGTGAAGGATGAGTGAGGATGTTACAGTACTGTAAGTGGAAAGTACAGTGACTGTACTGTGAAGGGTGAGTGAGGATGTTACAGTACTGTAAGTGGAAAGTACAGTGACTGTACTGTGAAGGATGAGTGAGGATGTTACAGTACTGTAAGTGGAAAGTACAGTGATTGTACTGTGAAGGGTGAGTGAGGATGTTACAGTACTGGAAGTGGAAAGTACAGTGACTGTATTGTGAAGGGTGAGTGAGGATGTTACAGTACTGGAAGTGGAAAGTACAGTGACTGTACTGTGAAGGATGAGTGAGGATGTTACAGTACTGGAAGTGGGAGGTACAGTGACTGTACTGTGAAGGATGAGTGAGGATGTTACAGTACTGGAAGTGGGAGGTACAGTGACTGTACTCTGAAGGATGAGTGAGGATGTTAGTCTTGGAGGTGGGAAGTACAGTGACTGTACTGTGAAGGGTGAGTGAGGATGTTACAGTACTGTAAGTGGAAAGTACAGTGATTGTACTGTGAAGGGTGAGTGAGGATGTTACAGTACTGTAAGTGGAAAGTACAGTGACTGTACTGTGAAGGGTGAGTGAGGATGTTACAGTACTGGAAGTGGGAGGTACAGTGACTGTACTGTAAAGGATGAGTGAGGATGTTACAGTACTGGAAGTGGGAGGTACAGTGACTGTACTCTGAAGGATGAGTGAGGATGTTACAGTACTGGAAGTGGGAGGTACAGTGACTGACTCTGAAGGATGAGTGAGGATGTTAGTCCTGGAGGTGGGAAGTACAGTGACTGTACTGTAAAGGATGAGTGAGGATGTTACAGTAATGGAAGTGGGAGGTACAGTGACTGTACTCTGAAGGATGAGTGAGGATGTTAGTCCTTGAGGTGGGAAGTACAGTGACTGTACTGCAAAGGGTGAATGAAGATGTTACAGTCCTGGAGGTCATCTGTGGTGTCAGCACACATCTAATAAGTGACTAAAAGAATAATGGTGAGTTTCTTTTTTGTTCTACCAGGCAGGAGACAGCCAACATGATATGGGCTATTATGAACTGAGAATCTTACCAAAACAAGTAGTGTGTGTTTCGTGTGTTGTGTAGATGTTGGTGCATATATTTACAACTTAGGTAATGTTTGGCTCTGTCAGTAGGGTTGTGTAAGTATGAGTACAGCAGAGGTTGGGAAGCTGACTTGTCAGGCAAGGCTGGTTGGCTAAGGGCTTAGGCAATCCCCCCACAGACTAGCTTATCTGGCTTGGTTTAAGTTGCAGACTCGGATCAACTCCTCGAAAATATGCAAATAAGCAGAGTAAGACACAAAACTGACCAGGAAATTGTGCAGACAGGCTGGTGGATGCTGGCTTGGGGCTGTAGGTACCGTTGTCTCTCTGCAGGCCTAGCACGTGGCCACACAAAATGTCCACCGGCTTGTAGAAGATTATCTCTTTATATCGCCATAATTCTCAGAATTACGCTCCCACGCTGCCACCAATTATTGTGTGGGATTCCTTGGAGATATGATGGTTGAAGTAAAACACTCTTGGTTGGGTGGTAACACTATATTGGCAGAGTCGTGAGGGGAAACCCAGGCCTACCTGTTTTGCTTTATGCCTATACTGGAACTGAGGAGGAGGCCTGTGGGCAAGCGCTCACATGTGCGGCTTCTTGATGTCACAAACTACCCACTGAGCTTAGCCAGGGACCCTACAAATATAATATGGATGATACAACTTACGATATACTATACAAGCATATTGCATAGGAATTCAATAACCCTACTGGCAGTTATGTATCAACACAAGTGTGTGTTAACGTGTGTTGTGTAGATGTTCGTGCATATAGTTGAACCCTGAGTGACATTTGGTTATGTTACAGGTTGGTAACTTGTACGGTGATGGTGTGACATTGAACCAGACCAAGCAACATCAGCAGCAGCAGCAGCAGCAGCAGCAGCAGCAGCAGCAGCAGCAGCAGCAGCAGCAGCAGCAACAGCAGCAACAACAGCAGCAGCAGCAGCAGCAGCAGCAGCAGCAGCAGCAGCAGCAGCAGCAGCAGCCGCCGCCGCAGCAGCAGCCGCAGCAGCAGCCGCAGCAGCCGCATCCACAGCAGCCGCATCCACAGCAGCCGCATCCACAGCAGCAGCCGCCACCGCAGCAGCAGCCTCAACAGCAGCAGCAGCCGCCACCGCAGCAGCAGCCGCCACCCTCACAACATCAGCATCAGCAGCAGCAGCAGCATCAACAGGAGCAGCATGGGCAGCATCAACAAACACAAAAAATTAGTAGTACTAGCACCACCACAACCTCAGGACACCATCACCACCACCATCACCACCATCACCATCACTCAACCAGAGGTAACTCAACCACTCTTGTTTGTTGCTTCCCTCACCTCTTATATAACACACTGGTTTATCTTGCTTCCTTCACCTCTTATATAACACACTGGTTTATCTTGCTTCCTTCACCTCTTATATAACACACTGGTTTATATTGCTTCCCTCACCTCTTATATAACACACTGGTTTATCTTGCTTCCTTCACCTCTTATATAACACACTGGTTTATATTGCTTCCTTCACCTCTTGTATAACACACTGGTTTATCTTGCTTCCTTCACCTCTTATATAACACACTGGTTTATATTGCTTCCTTCACCTCCTATATAACACACTGGTTTATCTTGCTTCCTTCACCTCCTATATAACACACTGGTTTATATTGCTTCCTTCACCTCTTATATAACACACTGGTTTATCTTGCTTCCTTCACCTCTTATATAACACACTGGTTTATCTTGCTTCCTTCACCTCTTATATAACACTGGTTTATCTTGCTTCTCTCACCTCTTATATAACACACTGGTTTATATTGCTTCCTTCACCTCTTATATAACACACTGGTTTATCTTGCTTCCTTCACCTCTTATATAACACACTGGTTTATCTTGCTTCTCTCACCTCTTGTATAACACACTGGTTTATCTTGCTTCCTTCACCTCTTATATAACACACTGGTTTATCTTGCTTCCTTCACTTCTTATATAACACACTGGTTTATATTGCTTCCCTCACCTCTTATATAACACACTGGTTTATCTTGCTTCCTTCACCTCGTATATAACACACTGGTTTATCTTGCTTCTCTCACCTCTTATAAACACACTGGTTTATCTTGCTTCCTTCACCTCTTATATAACACACTGGTTTATATTGCTTTCTTCACCTCTTATATAACACTGGTTTATCTTGCTTCTCTCACCTCTTATAAAACACACTGGTTTATCTTGCTTCCTTCACCTCTTATATAACACACTGGTTTATATTGCTTCCTTCACCTCTTATATAACACTGGTTTATCTTGCTTCCTTCACCTCTTATATAACACACTGGTTTATATTGCTTCCTTCACCTCTTATATAACACACTGGTTTATCTTGCTTCCTTCACCTCTTATATAACACACTGGTTTATATTGCTTTCTTCACCTCTTATATAACACTGGTTTATCTTGCTTCTCTCACCTCTTATATAACACACTGGTTTATCTTGCTTCCTTCACCTCTTATATAACACACTGGTTTATATTGCTTCCTTCACCTCTTATATAACACTGGTTTATATTGCTTCCTTCACCTCTTATATAACACTGGTTTATCTTGCTTCCTTCACCTCTTATATAACACACTGGTTTATATTGCTTCCTCACCTCTTATATAACACACTGGTTTATATTGCTTCCTCACCTCTTATATAACACATGGTTTATCTTGCTTCCTCACCTCTTATATAACACATGGTTTATATTGCTTCCTTCACCTCTTATATAACACAATGGTTTATCTTGCTTCCTTCACCTCTTATATAACACAACTGGTTTATATTGCTTCCCTCACCTCTTATATAACACACTGGTTTATATTGCTTCCTTCACCTCTTATATAACACAATGGTTTATATTGCTTCCTTCACCTCTTATATAACACACTGGTTTATATTGCTTCCTTCACCTCTTATATAACACACTGGTTTATCTTGCTTCTCACCTCTTATATAATACACTGGTTTATCTTGCTTCTCTCACCTCTTATATAACACACTGGTTTATCTTGCTTCCTTCACCTCTTATATAACACACTGGTTTATCTTGCTTCCTTCACCTCTATATATAACACACTGGTTTATCTTGCTTCCTTCACCTCTTATATAACACACTGGTTTATCATTGCTTCCTCACCTCTTATATAACACACTGGTTTATCTTGCTTCCTTCACCTCTTATATAACACACTGGTTTATCTTGCTTCCTTCACCTCTTATATAAAACACTGGTTTATCTTGCTTCCTCACCTCTTAATAAACACTGGTTTATCTTGCTTCCTTCACTCTTATATAACACACTGGTTTATCTTGCTTCCTTCACCTCTTATATAACACACTGGTTTATCTTGCTTCCTCTCACCTCTTATATAACACACTGGTTTATCTTGCTTCCTTCACCTCTTATATAACACACTGGTTTATCTTGCTTCCTTCACCTCTTATATAACACACTGGTTTATCTTGCTTCCTTCACCTCTTATATAACACACTGGTTTATCTTGCTTCCTTCACCTCTTATATAACACACTGGTTTATCTTGCTTCTCTCACCTCTTATATAACACACTGGTTTATCTTGCTTCCTTCACCTCTTATATAACACACTGGTTTATCTTGCTTCCTTCACCTCTTATATAACACACTGGTTTATCTTGTTTCTTTCACTTCTTATATAACACACTGGTTTATATTGCTTCCTTCACCTCTTATATAACACACTGGTTTATCTTGCTTCTCTCACCTCTTATAAAACACACTGGTTTATCTTGCTTCCTTCACCTCTTATATAACACACTGGTTTATCTTGCTTCCTTCACATCTTATATAACACACTGGTTTATCTTGCTTCCTTCACCTCGTATATAACACACTGGTTTATATTGCTTCCCTCACCTCTTATATAACACACTGGTTTATATTGCTTCCCTCACCTCTTATATAACACACTGGTTTATCTTGCTTATTTCACCTCTTATATAACACACTGGTTTATCTTGCTTCCTTCACCTCTTATATAATACACTGGTTTATATTGCTTCCTTCACCTCTTATATAACACACTGGTTTATCTTGCTTCCTTCACCTCTTATATAACACACTGGTTTATATTGCTTCCCTCACCTCTTATATAACACACTGGTTTATCTTGCTTCCTTCACCTCTTATATAACACACTGGTTTATCTTGCTTCTCTCACCTCTTATATAACACACTGGTTTATCTTGCTTCCTTCACCTCTTATATAACACAATGGTTTATATTGCTTCCCTCACCTCTTATATAACACACTGGTTTATCTTGCTTCCTTCACCTCTTATATAACACAATGGTTTATATTGCTTCCCTCACCTCTTATATAACACACTGGTTTATATTGCTTCCTTCACCTCTTATATAACATGCTGGTTTATCTTGCTTCTCTCACCTCTTATATAACTCACTGGTTTATCTTGCTTCCTTCACCTCTTATATAACACTGGTTTATCTTGCTTCCTTCACCTCTTATATAACACACTGGTTTATATTGCTCCCCTCACCTCTTATATAACACACTGGTTTATCTTGCTTCCTTCACCTCTTATATAACACACTGGTTTATCTTGCTTCTCTCACCTCTTATAAAACACACTGGTTTATCTTGCTTCCTTCACCTCTTATATAACACACTGGTTTATATAGTGTTATAACAAATACTGTAGTAGTGTTATAACAAGTACTGTAGTGTTATAACAAGTACTGCAGTGTTATAAGAAGTACTGTAGTGTTATAACAAGTACTGTAGTGTTATAACAAGTACTGTAGTGTTATAACAAGTACTGTAGTGTTATAACAAGTACTGTAGTGTTATAACAAGTACTGTAGTGTTATAAACAAGTGTTACTAGTAGTGTTATAACAAGTACTGTAGTGTTATAACAAGTACTGTAGTGTTATAACAAGTACTGTAGTGTTATAACAAGTACTGTCAGTGTTATAACAAGTACTGTATGTGTTATAACAAGTACTGTAGTGTTATAACAAGTACTGTAGTGTTATAACAACAGTACTGTAGTAGTGTTATAACAATAGATTACAACAATACTATTTAACAAGCACTCTAGTAAATTAACAGCAGCCGAGCTCGTCCAACCAACTACAGACACCAGAGAGCCACAACCAGTCGCAGCTGTAACAGCCGCAGTGTCATAACACAGACAGAGCTGCTAACAACATACATAAACAGCAGACGCAGCGTACAGCAGCAGTCGGTGCATCAACTACAAACTTAGATCCATACAAAAGTGTCTACAAAGTGAAAGTTTTTTACTGTATTCAGTAAATGCCTTGTGTTGATGACTGACATATATCATATAAATATGTATGATTAAATTTGTGTTTTAATGATGTATGTATATATCATGCACAGTTAGTACCCTGGTATTCCTGGGTAGATACTTTAGAAGAGATACCGGATTTACCTGGAAAGTTCCTCGGGGCAACAGCCCGCGCGGCCACCGTCGTGAACCAGGCCACCCATGGTGGCACGCAAGCCTGATCACACCAGCTGTATACTGCTGGCTGCACGCAAATCAACGTACGAGCCACAGCCCGGCTGGTCAGGAACCGACTTTAGGTGCTTGTCCAGTGCCAGCTTGAGACTGCAGGAGTGCTCTGTTGGTAATCCCCCTTATGTATGCTAGTGGCAGTTGAACAGTCTCGGGCCCCTGACACTATTGTATGGTCTCTTAACGTGCTAGTGACACCCCTGCTTTTTCATTGGGGGGATGTTGCATCGTTGCCAAGTCTTTGCTTTCGTAGTGAGTGATTTTCGTGTGCAAGTTCGTTACTAGTCCCTCTAGGATTTTCCAGGTGTATATATCATGTAATCTCTCCCGCCTGCATTCCAGGAATACAGGTTTAGGAACCTCAAGCGCTCCCAGTAATTGAGGTGTTTTATCTCCGTTATGCGCGCCGTGAAGGTTCTCTGTACATTTTCTAGGTCAGCAATATCACCTGCCTTGAAAGGTGCTGTTAAGTGTGCAGCAATATTCCAGCCTTGATAGAACAAGTGACCTGAAGAGTGTCATCATGGGCTTGGCCTCCCTAGTTTTGAAGGTTCTCATTATCCATCCTGTCATTTTTCTAGCAGATGCGATTGATACAATGTTATGGTCCTTGAAGGTGAGATCCTCCGACATGATCACTCCCAGGTCTTTGACGTTGGTGTTTCGCTCTATTTTGTGGCCAGAATTTGTTTTGTACTCTGATGAAGATTTAATTTCCTCGTGTTTACCATATCTGAGTAATTGAAATTTCTCATCATTGAACTTCATATTGTTTTCTGCAGCCCACTGAAAGATTTGGTTGATGTCCGCCTGGAGCCTTGCAGTGTCTGCAATGGAAGACACTGTCATGCAGATTCGGGTGTCATCTGCAAAGGAAGACACGGTGCTGTGGCTGACATCCTTGTCTATGTCGGATATGAGGATGAGGAACAAGATGGGAGCGAGTACTGTGCCTTGTGGAACAGAGCTTTTCACCGTAGCTTCCTCGGACTTTACTCTGTTGACGACTACTCTCTGTGTTCTGTTAGTGAGGAAATTATAGATACATCGACCGACTTTTCCTGTTATTCCTTTAGCACGCGTTTTGTGCGCTATTACACCATGGTCACACTTGTCGAAGGCTTTTGCAAAGTCTGTATATATTACATCTGCATTCTTTTTGTCTTCTAGTGCATCTAGGACCTTGTCGTAGTGATCCAATAGTTGAGACAGACAGGAGCGACCTGTTCTAAACCCATGTTGCCCTGGGTTGTGTAACTGATGGGTTTCTAGATGGGTGGTGATCTTGCTTCTTAGGACCCTTTCAAAGATTTTCATGATATGGGATGTTAGTGCTATCGGTCTGTAGTTCTTTGCTGTTGCTTTACTGCCCCCTTTGTGGAGTGGGGCTATGTCTGTTGTTTTTAGTAACTGTGGGACGACCCCCATGTCCATGCTCCCTCTCCATAGGATGGTAAAAGGCTCGTGATACATGATATTATATTCCTGGAAGGTACTGGAGGGCCTGGTCCCCAATCTACACACTGCCATAACAACATACTGGAGTGAGAGATATGGGAGGAAGTGCAAAATAAACCCAGTGAGGGGCAGGGGTGCGGTGAGGACAATAAGGAAACACTGTATTAACATCCAGTGTCCCAGACTATTTAACATCTTACCAGTAGATATGAGAAATACGGCTGGTACAAGTGTAGAAGCCTTCAAGAGGAAACTGATCAAGTATCTTCACCAGGTGCCAGATCAACCAGGCTGTGATGGATCTGTGGGGCAGTCAGTCTCCAGCAGCAACAGCCTGGTTGACCAGGCAAGCACCAGACAAGCCTGGCCCATGGCCGGGCTCCGAGAGTAGTGAAACTCTTCAAAGGTATATCAACTGTATACCTATATAGTAGTACCCTGGTATCCTTGGGTGATACTTTCCAAGACCTATACAGTAGTGCCCTGGTATCCCTGGGTGGTATCTTCCAAGACCTATACAGTTGTACCCTGGATGGATAATGAGAATCTTCACAACTAGGGATGCCAAGCCCATGATGATTCTGTTCATATTGCTTGCTCTCTCTAGGCTGGAATACTGCTGTACACTAACTGCCCCCTTCAAGGCAGGGGAAATTGCTGACCTGGAGAGTGTATAAAGAACTTTCACGGCACACATAAGTACGATAATGCGCCTAAATTACTTGCAACAGTTGAAGGCCCTTGATCTGTATTCCCTGGAGCACAGGCGAGAGATAGACATAATAATAAATACTTGGAAAATCCTATAGAGATTAGTACCAAACCTGCACTTGAAAATCATTCCCCATGAAAGCAAAAGACTCGGCAGGAGATGCAACATTTCCCCAGTGAAAAGCAGGGGCGCCACGAGTGCACTGAGAGACAACACAATGTGTCCGGGGGCCCAAGACTGTTCAACTGCCTCCCAGCATACATAAGGGGGATTACCAATAGACCCCTGGCTGTCTTCAAGAAGGCATTGGACAGGCACCGAAAGTCAATACCTGACCAACCGGGCTGTGGTTTGTACGTCAATTTGTGTGCAGCCACCAGTAACAGCCTGGTTGATCAGACCCTGATCCACCACGAGGCCTGGTCTCAGGCCGAGCCATGGGGGCGTTGACCCCCAAAACCCTCCCTGGTAAACTCCAGGTATCCCTGGGTGATATCTTTGAAGACCTATACAGTAGTGCCCTGGTATCCCTGGGTGATACCTTTCAAGACCTGTACAGTAGTGCCCTGGTATCCCTGAGTGATACATTTCAAGACCTATACAATAGTGGCCTAGTATCCCTGGGGATACCCTCCAAGAACTACCGTGGATACTAGTGAACACTGTGTAGAAGTTTTTGGTTTACATACACAGCTGTGATAATGTTAATTGATAAATTATGCACAATAAGTGGAGAATTATCACTTTATCACTGATGGGAAGCACTTTACAGCTTCTCTTAGACTCTGAACAGCTGTCACCATCACTACTTTTGTGGTCATTATTAAGCTAAATTAGACCACCATCACTACTTTAATGCTTTGTGGCCATTATTAAGAAAAATTAAGGCTTATTTTCAGGATAACTGAAACCATGGAAACCGAATCCGCAGATACTGGGGTTCTACTGTGTGTATTTTCATGCTGTATATTTTGCCGGTGTATATTTTCACGTATATTTTCACATATTTTCACATATTTTCACGTATATTTTCATGTATATTTCCACGTATATTGTCATGTATATATTTCCATGTATATTTTTTCGTGTTGTATAGCGCAAGTGCTTCGACCACAATGGTCACAGTGGCAGTGGAACGTTGGTAGAACACAGCAAGGTAGGGGCCCCAGCAGGTGCCCCAACCACAACTAGCAAGACGGTGGCCCACGGCAAAGTGGCCCTCGGTGGCGGCCAGAACAATGCCACCAAGGGCGGTAACTCCTCGGCCGCAGACGGCGACTATCAGGTGAGTGGAAGAACTACCCTTTTACTACATCTCTTATTGTTACTGTAGTGTAACAAGTACTGTAGGGTTATAACAAGTACTGTAGTGTTATAACAAGTACTGTAGTGTTATAACAAGTACTGTAGTGTTGTAACAAGTACTGTAGTGTTATAACAAGTACTGTAGTGTTATAACAAGTACTGTAGTAGTGTTATAACAAGTACTGTAGTGTTATAACAAGTACTGTAGTGTTATAACAAGTACTGTAGTGTTATAACAAGTACTGTAGTGTTATAACAAGTACTGTAGTGTTATAACAAGTACTGTAGTGTTATAACAAGTACTGTAGTGTTATAACAAGTACTGTAGTGTTATAACAAGTACTGTAGTGTTATAACAAGTACTGTAGTGTTATAACAAGTACTGTAGTGTTATACAAGTACTGTAGTGTTATAACAAGTACTGTAGTGTTATAACAAGTACTGTAGTGTTATAACAAGTACTGTAGTGTTATAACAAGTACTGTAGTGTTATAACAAGTACTGTAGTGTTATACCCAAGTACTGTAGTGTTATAACAAGTACTGTAGTGTTATAACAAGTACTGTAGTGTTATAACAAGTACTGTAGTGTTATAACAAGTACTGTAGTGTTATAACAAGTACTGTAGTGTTATAACAAGTACTGTAGTGTTATACCAAGTACTGTAGTATTATAACAAATACTGAAGTGTTACCACTACTACTAGATACTACTGTACTGTTCATTTATAACAAGTGCTTATTGATGCTAATGTTGGTACTTTCCGAACCATACTATGCAAGGTATTGCTGTATCGTAAGCTGACAATATCCTAAGTTGAAAATATTGTAAGTTATAAATATCGTTATGTTGAATATGAATAGATAGTAAATAACGGCTGTCACTGAGTAAGTCAGTAAACAAAAAATTTCTGTAACTAAATACCAATATTGAAAAGTTAATGAATGAATACAAGTTTATTGTGTCAACAAATGTACAGTAGTGAATATTCATCATTGATGCACCATTGTAAAGTTAGAATGTTGTAAGGCAAACCATCATAAAGGAAGAAGCATTGCTACTATAATGTTCTAACATACCATACACGGGCAGATCTACTATGAAACCAGTGAAGCTTAAGCTTGAGGGCCTGTAGTCCTGGAGGGGCCCCAAAAGCCAATTTAGTCCACATTGCTTAAAAATTTTGGGTGTACCATATGAGAAAGGTTGTTAAATAATAATAATAATTATTAGGGTGTTTGGGAGAGGGGTGGGATTAAATTATGGAGAGTCAAATACAAAATGGGAATTGACACAGTTACTTTTTGTTGATGATACTGTGCTTATGGGAGATTCTAAAGAAAAATTGCAAAGGTTAGTGGATGAGTTTGGGAGTGTGTGTAAATGTAGAAAGTTGAAAGTGAACATAGAAAAGAGTAAGGTGATGAGGGTATCAAATGATTTAGATAAAGAAAAATTGGATATCAAATTGGGGAGGAGGAGGAGTATGGAAGAAGTGAGTGTTTTCACATATTTGGCAGTTGATGTGTCAGTGGATGGATTTGTGAAGGATGGGGTTAATCATAGAATTGATGAAGGAAAAAAGGTGAGTGGTGCATTGAGGTATATGTGGAGTCAAAAGATGTTATCTATGGAGGCAAAGAAGGGAATGTATGAAAGTATAGTAGTACCAACACTTATATGGGTGTGAAGTTTGGGTTGTAAATGCTGCAGCAAGGAGGCGGTTGGAGGCAGTGGAGACGTCCTGTCTAAGGGCAATGTGTGGTGTAAATATTATGCAGAAAATTCAGAGTGTGGAAATTAGGAGAAGGTGTGGAGTTAATAAAAGTATTAGTTAGAAGGCTGAAGAGGGGTTGTTGAGGTGGTTTGGTCATTTAGAGAGAATGGATCAAAGTAGAATGACATGGAGAGCATATAGATCTGTAGGGGAAGGAAGGCGGGGTAGGGGTCATCCTCAAAAAGGTTGGAGGGAGGGGGTTGGACTTCCAACAAGTGTGCATGAGCATGTTAGATAGGAGTGAATGGAGACAAATGGTTTTTGGGACCTGACGATCTGTTGGAGTGTGAGCAGGGTAATATTTAGTGAAGGGAGTCAAGGAAACCGGTTATTTTTATATAGCCGGACTTGAGTACTGGAAATGGGAAGTACAATGCTTGCACTTTAACCCATTGAGGGTTTCGGCCGTACTAGTACGGCTTACGACCCAGGGTTTTTGACGTACTAGTACGCCTAAATTCTAGTGCCCTCAAGTCTAGTGGGAGAAAGCTGGTAGGCCTACATATGAAAGAATGGGTCTATGTGGTCAGTGTGCGCAGTATAAAAAAAAATCCTGCAGCACACAGTGCATAATGAGAAAAAAAAACTTTGACCGTTTTTTTGGCGACTTTGCACTGTATTTTCGCATGGTCTGTAGTGGAAGGAAGGCGGTAGGGTCGGCCTGAGGTTGAGGAGGGTACAGTAGGTTTTGTGTGCGGTGGCATTGATTCAGCAGGCATGCGTGAGCTTTTGATAGAGTAATGAGACAAATGGTTTAATACTTGACGTGGTTGAGTGTGACAAAACATTTATGAAGATCAGAAACCGGCAGCCGGATGAGTCCTGGAGATGGGAGTCAGTGCCTCACTTGAGAGGGTGTTAATGTTCAGTTTAAAATTAGTGTAAGCACCTTCTGCAAGACAGTGATGGAGTGAAGATGGTGAAAGTTTTTCTTTTCGCCACCCTCTTGTGGAATCGGCGTGGTATAAAAAAAAAATATTTATGTTATTCTAGTTTTCTTGGTCGCATTTTATAGAATGAGAATACTACAGAAATGAGTGATTTGACTGTTTACATGAAAAGTACCTTGAATTGCTCAAGTAGCAGAAATGTTCGATTTTTACCAAAGTTCAAAAGTAAACAAATCATGCTATGTCCAATACACATCAGCTGGTGAGTCTGTTCTTTCGCAAGTGCGTCAATATTATTTATACCATTTCTACACTAATGCAGTAGTCTGCATAATAGTAAATCTTCTATTTTTTATAGAATTAAAATTCAAAGTGGAAAGCAAAAGAATGTAAGAGGGGCCTTGAGATGTGACTAATGAACAGAGGAAATGTCATTTTAGTGCCAGGAATGTATTTCTTGTTTGTTCTGGACCCTATTCGGAAATTGGCATCTTTTGAAATTTGTGTGAAATTGGCAAAATTGCTAAATTCTGACCACTGTACTGGATAGTTGAAACTGATAAATTGGTGGTTTCTTGCACTCATTCGATAGAAAAAATGGAGTTCTAGCGAAATATCCATGTTTTTTGTTGACTAGTACAGTGGAATTGGCCGAAAATGGGGCTCAAAGTGGGCAAAATCGCCAATGCGTAAACATCGACGAGACCACTAACTTCACAAGAGCATAATTCAAACTTTTGGTGTCATTATAATCGGGAAAAGATTCTCTATCTTTTCATACGAGAAAATTATTTTTTTTTTTAAATTTCGCCGACCCTGAGAACGAGTCTGAGAGGGCCTGTCGACCCTCAAAGGGTTAAAGGAGGGGTTTGGGATATTGGCAGTTTGAAGGGATATGTTATATATCTTTATTTATGCTTCTAAACTGTTGTATCTGGGCGCCTCTGCAAAAACACTGATTATGTACGAGTGATGTGAGTGTTGAATGATGAAAGTATTTTCCTTTTGGGGATTTTCTTTTTGGGTCACCCTGCCTCGGTGGGAGACGGTTGACTTGTTGAAAAAAAAAAATCACATTCATATTCGGCTTACAATATTTCTGACTTGCTATATTTTTTACTTGCGATATTTTTGAACTGCAGTATTTTTGACTTGCCATATTTTTGACTTGCGATATTTTTGACTTATGATATTTTTGACTAATGATGAGTTCGTCAGAGTGTAACTCCGTGGTAAGTCAAGCACCTGTATACAGATCAAATAATCTCTTGAGTTACTGTTTCCATGGGGGTTATTATTGAACATTCTTCTCTTTATTCACTGCCAGTCATTCATAATGACTTGGATTTCCATTGTAAATGTCACCTAAATTTTTGTTTCAGTTGGTACAGCATGAAGTACTGTACTCGCTCACAGCGCAGTACGAGGTGCTGGAGTTCCTTGGCCGCGGCACCTTTGGCCAAGTGGTCAAGTGCTGGAAGAAGGGCACCAATGACATCGTGGCAATCAAAATCCTCAAGAACCACCCCTCCTACGCCAGGCAGGGCCAGATTGAGGTACTGTTCTGTGCTTGTTGTTATACCACTTTATTTTATTCTCTTGTTTCCTTGGTTGTGGATGGGTAGTAGACAGCAACCATTCAAGAAGGTATCATACTTCTGTCATATGAGTTGGTAGACAGCAACCATGCAAGTGGAACTTCATTTGTGGATGGGTAGTAGGTTGATAAACAGCAACCATGCAAGGAGGTACTATACTCCTTTCAAATGAGTGTTGCATGATAATTTATTGGAGTGTACATTTAGAGAGGATAGAATAAAATAGAATGACTTAGAGGGTGTATAAATCTGTAGTGGAAGGAAAGCGATGTAGGGGTCAGCCTAGGAAAGGATGGAGGGAGGGGGTAAAAGAGGTTTTGTGTGCAAGGGGCTTGGACATACAGCAGGCATGTGTGAGTGTGTTACATAGGAGTGAATGGAGACAAATGGTTTTTGGAACTTGACATGTTGGAGTATGAGCAGGGAAGGGATTCAGGGAAACTGGTTAGCCAGACTTAAGTCCTGGAGGTAGGCAGTACTACAATGCTTGTACTCTAAAGGAGCAGTTTGGGATATTTGCTGTTTGGAGTGGCATCTAAACTGTCGTATCTATGTGTGTCTGGCAAGACAGTGAGAGTGTGAATGATGGTGAAAGTGTTTCTTTTTCAGGCCACTGTGTCTTGATGGGTGATGACCATTCTGTTGAAAAGAACAATAATAATAATAATAATAATAATAATAAGTGTTGATAATTGAAGGTAGACTTGTAAATAATGATTTGTGTTTCAGGTTGGTATATTGACAAGGTTAAGCCAGGAGAGCGCAGACGACTACAACTTTGTACGAGCCTTCGAATGTTTCCAGCACAAGAACCATACGTGTCTGGTGTTTGAAATGCTTGAACAGAACCTCTATGACTTCCTCAAACAGAACAAATTCTCTCCACTGCCGCTGAAATTCATCCGACCCATCCTTCAGCAGGTCTTGACAGCTCTTCTCAAACTTAAGGTACTTCAGAGAATAAAATGGTACAGTACTGTGACTGCAACAGTACACAAATGATCCGAACATAGGAGAGACAGGCTTGTGATTGTGTTTCAGTCCGACTTGAACCATTTATGAAACATTGTCATGAGCTTCTCCTATATGCGGGTTGTTTATATAGAGTAGTGCTCTGGTACCCACAGGGGATACCTTCCAAAAACTACCATGGAAACCTGAAACTGTGGATAGTAGTGAACACTACATACAAGTCATTTTATATTTACATACCTATGATAAAGTTTAATTAATAAATTTTGCAAAATAATCCAGAATTAACGCTTTTTCACTGATGGGAAGCACTTCATGGCTTCTCTTAGACTTTGAACAACTGCGACTATTACAAAAAAAGTATTTTTAGATGGTGGATTACTCATTTTGTAATAAAGAGTTCGGGATACATAAATACACGTTAAAGTAAGTGAATCTTTAATATTATATAAAAACAACTATCTTTGGTCTAGAGGTATTCAAAATATACATACATGCTACAATAATAAATTATTAGCATTTTAAAATAATAAATGATAATTGGTAACCCTACACACAGGGTACCACTTTTTCAGACACTACTGTGTCACTATATATATCTATGCTAAAATAATAAATTATAAATAACATATTTACAGTAATAAATTAGTCAACTCTGTCTCACGACACCCTAATGACGCTCCGTGTCACACGACACTTATCCGAGTTGTGACGCTCCCTATGTCTCACACGACACTTACCCGTGTAATGACGCTCCATCTCAGCTGTGTCCCTTGATGCCCTTTTCTCTGCGTAATGACGCTCCTACTCTCCGTGTCACACGACACCCTTTTCTCTGCGTCATACACTACTGTGTCACTCTTGACACCCAGTGACACACTCACACAGCGTCTTTCTCAAGGCCAGTCACATGACACTATTCAATGTACACTACAACCGTAACTTCTTTAGTGTTACACGACACCCTTTTCTTCTCAGTGTTCCACTACGGTCCTATAGCATATCTCAGTGTCACACTCCGTCATACTTCCTTAAGTGTCACACTACGGTCCTAGCCCAGTTCAGTGTCACACTCTAACCTTTTCTTCACGTAGTGTCCCACTAAAACAGCATCCGATGACTCCGGCCCACAGTTGACCAGCGTAGGCGGTGAGTCCGCAGACATCACCTGGTAATCCTATAAATACTCTCTAAAGGCCAGTAGAAGTACACCGTAAGATGGTCTGGTGAGTACTGTCTACCGCCTTCAAGACCAGTTGACACACCGCAAGGTGGTCCAGTTAATACTGCTTGCAGAACACCATGCTGCGAGCTCACTGAATGTGGCCGTCAAGTAACTGAGGCCATCAGATTCAGTGAGCTGCAGTGAGCGGTTCTTCTAAAATCAGTAGAAGCCAGTAGAATACTCTCTACTGCCAGTAGATGTGTACCATTAGGTGTTCTGGTAACTACTGCTTAGATGTGTACCGTGAGGTGTTCAGGTACTTACTGCTTAGATGCGTACCATGAGGTGTTCAGGTACTTACTGCTTAGATGCGTACCGTGAGGTGTTCAGGTACTTACTGCTTCTAAAGCTGGCTCAGCAGTCCCCACATTGGGTTTGATGACATGCCCTGTGGTACTGCCAGCCGGCAGGTTAACCATTTAACCGCTGGTTTGGCAGGGGGCCGCAACAGCGACCATCACTACTTCTGCACCTTGGGACCATTAATAAGCAAAATTAAGGGTTATTTTTATGTCACGGTGTACTGTGGGATTCGGATTCCGAATCCGTGGATACTGGGGTTCTACTATACCTGGAGGGTGTTCTGGGGGTCATTGCCCCCATGGCCCAGTCCATGACCAGGCCTGGTGGTGGATCAGGACCTGATCAACCAGGTTTTGTTACTGCTGTCACACGTAAACCATAGGAACCACAGCCTGGCTGGTCAGGTACGTACTGACTTTGGGTATCTATGTCAAGGTACAGTAGAACCCCTGTATCCACAGATATGGGGGCTCTACTGCACTACAGTCCTCCCCAGTTTGTACTCGTCTATTTGTGGTTGCAGGTGTTGAGTCTCAGCTCCTGGCCCATCCTCTCAGTGCCACTTGCCAGATTTGCTCCATTCTAGACTTGTGAGCACTATCATACCTTCTCTTACAACTCTGTATAGAGTATGCCTCAGTGGGAATCAACTAGACAGTAACTGACTGAATGATAGTGAATGTGTCAATCTTTATGTGGACACAGCTTGGGGAGATACAGGCTGATACCAGTAATGAAAAAGAATATTTTTTTGTGATTAAAAATATGAGATGATTTCATGGGTTAATCTGTAGTGATCAGCATAGGCTGAAGATTATTTATATCAGAATTAGAGGCTAATTTATAGGCCTAGGCTAAGGGTATTTGTGTCAGAACTACAGGCTAATTTATAGGTCTAGGCTGAAGGTATTTGTGTCAACTATAGGCTAATTTATAAGCCTAGGATGAGAATATTTGTGTCAAAATCAGGATCTATATTGTGTAAGTTATGTGACCAACTTATGTGATCTCAAATAAGTTACATGACCTTAAGTTATATGATCTCAAGTTACTAGAAGGTATGAGTAAGTTAATTATTGCTCTATTAAAATTATTTTAGAAAATGACTGTAATTCAAATGTTGAGGGGAATAATTTATCATCATCTTAACCTGGAGTCTACCTGAATTATACCTGGAGAGGGTTTCAGGGGCCAACGCCCCCACGGCTCGGTCTGTAACCTGGCCTCAAAAAATGTGGAGCACTAAATGATTTTACATGTTAGGATAAGTCTGATGCATTTTCTTAGAAATCGGAAGGTGGATAATATAATTATTTTGTCAGAGGTCTAAGTCGGATCAAAACATCGTGGTAAGTGTGTCTCCTATGTGTGGGTTATTTGTGCATATACAGTGGTCCCCCGCTTTTCGTAGTTCCCGGCAATCGTAAAATTCACCAATCATAGAGGTATTTTCGTATAAACATGGACTCGCTTTTCATAGGTTGACTTGCGAGTCGTAGTTCGTCTGGGACGCGTACCCAAGGCGTGAGCCAGGGCAGCAGCCAGTCTGGCATTGTTTACCAGTGAGCGAAGGTCCCCTCACGTGCTCCAGCGAAATATTTTATAATATTCCATTTATTTTAGTGCTTGCAAGTACTAAATAAGCTACCATGGCTCCAAAGAAAGCTCCTAGTGCCAAGCCTGTGGTAAAGAAGGTGAGAAATACGATTGAATTTAAGAAAACCATCATCGAACAATATGAAAGTGGTACAAGTGTGGCCGAACTGTCCAGGATGTATAAGAAACCCTACACAACCATATGTTCCATAGTGGCCAAGAAAAAATGAAATAAAGGATGCTGTTGTTGCAAAGGGAGTAACTATGCTGACAAAAATGAGATCACCAGTACTGGAAGAGGTTGAGAAGTTATTATTGGTGTGGATAAATGAGAAACAATTAGCAGGAGATACTCTTATGACTTCGTTTATTTGTGAAAAGGCTAGGCAGTTGCATGAAGAAGATTTGGTAAAGAAATTGCCTGCAAATAGTGGTGAAGTGAATGAATTTAAGGCCAGCAAAGGCTGGTTTGAGAGATTTAAGAACCGTACTGGCATACACAGTGTGGTAAGGCATGGTGAGGCTGCCAGTTCGGACCACAAGGTGGCTGAAAAATATGTGCATGAATTCCAGGAGTACATAGAGGCTGAAGGACTGAAACCTGAACAAGTGTTCAGTTGTGACAAAACAGGCCTCTTTTGGAAGAAAATGCCAAAGAGGACCTTCATTACACAAGAGGAAAAGGCAATGCCAGGACACAAGCCTATGAAAGACAGGCTGACGCTAATGTTCTGTGCTAATGCTAGTGGGGATTTCAAAGTGAAGCCATTACTAGTGTACCATTCAGAAAATCCCAGAGTGTTCAGGAAAAACAATGTTATGAAGAGTAAATTGTGTGTGTTTTGGAAATCTAATAGTAAGGCATGGGTCACGAGGGAAATTTTTGTCGAGTGGTTCAATGAAGTGTTTGGCCCTAGTGTGAAGGAGTATCTCCTGGAAAAGAAATTGGATCTCAAGTGCCTGCTAGTAATGAACAATGCACCTGCTCATCCTCCAAACTTGGATGACCTAATTTTCGAGGAGTTTGGGTTCATCACAGTAAAGTTCTTGCCCCCGAATACCACTCCTCTCCTCCAACCCATGGACCAGCAGGTTATTGCAAACTTTAAAAAACTCTACACAAAAGCAATGTTTCACAGGTGCTTGACTGTGACCACAGACACTCACTTGACCCTAAGGGAATTTTGGAGAGAACACTTCAGCATCCTCCATTGCATAACCCTTATAGGTATGGCTTGGGAGGGAGTGACTACCAGGACTTTGAACTCTGCCTGGAGAAAATTGTGGCCAGATTGTGTCGACAAGAGGGATTTTGAAGAATTTGGGACTGACCCTAATGAGCCTATGTCTGTTGTAAAATCAATTGTGGCACTGGGGAGTTCCATGGGGTTGGATGTGAGTTTGGAGGATGTGGAAGAATTGGTGGAAGACCACAATGAAGAGCTCACCACTGAGGAGCTGCAAGAGCTTCAGCAGGAAGAGCAACACGTCGCAGCTCAGAATCTTGCTGCAGAGGAGGAGGAAGAGAGATGGAAGAAGGTGCCTTCTTCAGAAATTAACCCTTTGACTGTCGCGGCCGTATATATATGTCTTACGAGGTACCGTGTTTGACGTATATATACTCATAAATTCTAGCGGCTTCAAATTAAGCAGGAGAAAGCTGGTAGGCCCACATGGGAGAGAATGGGTCTGTGTGGTCAGTGTGCACCATATAAAAAAAATCCTGGAGCACGCAGTGCATGAGAAAAAAAAAACTCCGACCATTTTTTTTAATTAAAATGCCGAATTTGTGGTCTATTTTCGTATAGTATTTATGGTTGTATTCTCGTTTTCTTGGTCTCATTTGATAGAATGAAAAACATATTATAGAAATAGAGGTGATTTTGATTGATTTTACTATAAAAAGAACCTACAATTGGAGCTCAAAGTAGGGGAAATGTTTGATTTTTGCCAATGTTCAAAAGTAAACAAATGATGCCATTGTCCAATAAATGTCCAACTAGCCATTCTAATATGCAGTCATGAATGGGTTGATGTTATTTATACAATTATTACAGTTATTGCAGTAGTCTGCATAATAGTAAGTCTTCTATTTTTTGTTTGAATAAAAATTCAAAATAGAAAGCAAGAGTAATATCAGAGGGGACTGGAGATGTGACTGATGAACAAAGAAAATGTTATTTTAGAGCCAGGAATGTCTGCATTGTTCATTCTGGACCTTATTTTGAAATTGTCATATTTTTTAGTTTTCGTGAAATTGGCCAAATTCCAAATTTCTGACCACATTATTAGGTAGTTGAAATCGGTAAATGGGCAGTTTCTTGTACTCAATCGATAGAAAAAATGGAGTTTTAAAGAAGTAGCTATGAGTTTGGGCGACTGGAACAATGGAATTAGCCGAAAATAGGGCTCAAAGTGGGCGAAATTGCTGATTTGTAAACAGCGCTGAGGTCGCTAACTTCGCGAGAGCATAATTCCGTCAGTTTTCCATCAGATTTTGTTTTTTTGGTGTCATTACAATCGGGAAAAGATTCTCTATCATTTCATAAGAAAAAATAATTTTTTTTTTTTAAATTTTGCGACACCAGGAGACACCTCAGGATTGGGGGTTGCGACAGTCAAAGGGTTAAAGAGATTTTTACTATGTGGGGTAAGATGGAAAGCTTTATGGAGAAACATCACCCTAACAAGGTTGTTGCAAGCCAGTTTGGCAACATGTACAGTGACAAAGTCTTGGACCATTTTAGGGAAGTGTTAAAGAGACGCCAGAAACAGAGCTCTCTCCACAGTTATTTTGTGAGACAGGACTCCAGTGACTCTCAAGGTGGTCCTAGTGGCATTAAGAAACATAGAAGCAACCCCAGAAAAGCAAATGGTACCTGAGGTGTTGATGGAAGGGGATTCCCCTTCCAAACTATAAACAATCCCCACTCTCTCCTCCTCCAGTCTCCCATACACTAAGAAGAATCTCCAATAAAGGTAAGTGTTATGCTGTTAATGTTTCATTCATCATTTCCCATTGTATTGTTTATGTACTACATGCATATTTCATGTTAAAAATTTTTTTGTTTTAATACTTCTGGGTGTCAGGAACGGATTAATTGCATTTACATTATTTCTTATGGGGAAAATTGATTCGTAAATTTCGTTTATAGTAACGGCTCCAGGAATGGATTAATTACGAACAACGAGGGACTTACAGACCTGTTGAGAATCTTGTATTTTTTTTTTTCAACAAGTCTGCCATCTCCCACCTAGGCAGGGCGACCCAAAAAAGAAAGAAAATCCCCAAAAAGAAAATACTTTCATCATCATTCAACACTTTCACCACACTCACACATTATCACTGTTTTTTCAGAGGTGCTCAGGATACAACAGTTTAGAAGCATATACATATAACGATACACAACATATCCCTCCAAACTGCCAATATCCCAAACCCCTCCTTTAAAGTGCAGGCATTGTACTTCCCATTTCCAGGACTCAAGTCCGACTATATGAAAATAACCGGTTTCCCTGAATCCCTTCACTAAATATTACCCTGCTCACACTCCAACAGATCGTCAGGTCCCAAGTACCATTCGTCTCCATTCACTCCTATCTAACACGCTCACGCACGCTTGCTGAAAGTCTTGTATATCTTGTATATTATGTATAATATCATTATTATACACAATACAGAAGGTCCTCAATGTATTTGTAAGTTGAAGACTTTCTGTAATTATGTTTGTATTTGTATCGCACACAGCAACTTGGGCTGATCCATGCAGACCTGAAGCCAGAGAACATCATGTTGGTAGACCCGGTCAGACAACCGTATCGTGTCAAGGTCATCGACTTTGGCAGCGCTTCTCATGTGAGCAAGGCCGTGTGTAACACCTACCTGCAGTCTCGCTACTACCGTGCCCCAGAGATAGTCCTCGGCCTGCCCTTCTCCGAAGCTATTGACATGTGGTCGTTAGGTTGTGTCATTGCTGAGCTCTTCCTGGGATGGCCGCTCTATCCAGGGTCTTCTGAGTACGACCAGGTAAGTTATTGAACTTTGTCTTACGCTAAGCTCTCATATTAAGTTTGTCTATATAGTACAATAGTTTGTATTACAACTACATTATTGAACTTTGTATTGCACTTAAGTTCTCTCACGAAGCTCCTCTATACAGTACAATATTTTGTAAGAGCAGTTGAAAAAGATGATCCAAAATTGAATAGCAAGTGGAAAGTCCTTCATAATACAAGCTATGCCATTTATTTTAAAAAAATTGCTCCGAATAGACTAGCTTTATAAGAGAACTGACTGTATGCAGTACCTCTAACATGTGATGCAAAAGAGTAGGCCTGTTGACCTACCTACCTAATGGGTCACTAGGCCTGCTGTTGATCTCACATGGTACCTGCATATGCACTCTTGTGTTCTTGTTTGTAATGTTTCAACTAAGTTCCTGCAGAGGGAAACATTGCCACAATATAATGTTGCATTGGTTGCATCTGTGTTTGTTTACCTAAAATTATGTTTGGTGATTCTGCCATTATTATTCAATTTAATGTGACTGCCAGCTTTTGTTGTGAGTGTAAGTTGTTATAACTGTGACCTTCAGCTTTTGTTGTGAGTGTAAGATATTATAACTGTGACCTTCAACTTTTGTTGTGAGTGTAAGATGTTATAACTATGACCTTCAGCTTTTGCTGTGAGTGTAAGATGTTATAACTTTGCCCTTCAGTTTTTGTTGTGAGTTTAAGGTGTTATAACTATGACCTTCAGCTTTTGTTGTGAGTGTAAGATGTTATAACTGTGACCTTCAGCTTTTATTGTGAGTGTAAGGTATTATAACTGACCTTCAGCTTTTGTTGTGAGTGTAAGATGTTATAACTGTGACCTTCAGCTTTTGTTGTGAGTGTAAGATGTTATAACTGTGACCTTCAGCTTTTGTTGTGAGTGTAAGATGTTATAACTGTGACCTTCAGCTTTTGTTGTGAGTGTAAGATGTTATAACTGTGACCTTCAGCTTTTGTTGTGAGTGTAAGATGTTATAACTGTGACCTTCAGCTTTTGTTGTGAGTGTAAGATGTTATAACTGTGACCTTCAGCTTTTGTTGTGAGTGTAAGATGTTATAACTGTGACCTTCAGCTTTTGTTGTGAGTAAGATGTTATAACTGTGACCTTCAGCTTTTGTTGTGAGTGTAAGATGTTATAACTGTGACCTTCAGCTTTTGTTGTGAGTGTAAGGTGTTATAACTGTGACCTTCAGCTTTTGTTGTGAGTGTAAGGCGTTATAACTGTGATCTTTTGTTTACAGATTCGTTACATTAGTCAAACACAAGGGATCCCTGCGGAACACATGCTCAACAATGCCACCAAGACCACCAAATTCTTTTATAGAGACAATGAGTCGACCTATCCATTCTGGCGGCTTAAGGTGAGTCTTATCCTGTAGCAGTAGTAAGGATAGTGTCTGAACACTGGAGGATGGGTGTGGATAGTATAGTTCCGGAGGTGGGAAGTACAGTGCCTGTACTCGGAAGGATAAGTGAGAATGTTACAGTTCCAGAGGTAGGAAGTACAGTGCCTGTACTCAGAAGGATAAGTGAGAATGTTACAATTCTGGAAGTGGGAAATACAGTGACTGTACTCTGAAGGATGAGTGAGAATGTTATAGTACTGGAGGTGGGGAGTACAGTACCTGTACTCTGAAGGATAAGTGAGAATGTTACAGTTCCAAGGTCATTTACATAGTAATATCAGCCCACTTATGACTAGGCTGTTACTAAATTAGCCTCCTTAAGGCATTAAATTGTGTCTTTATTGTGACTGGTTCATCTTAAATTGTAACTATAAAATATGTTGTCTATTGTGACTTGTTGATATGAAATTATAACTGTAAATTATGTTGTCACAACAGACCCCAGAGGAACATGAAGGGGAGACCGGTATAAAAAGCAAAGAAGCACGTAAATACATCTTCAACTGCCTGGATGACATGGGTCAGGTCAACGTACCCACTGAACTTGAAGGCGGTGAGTTGCTGGCGGAAAAGGCGGACCGACGGGAGTTCATCGATCTGCTGAAGCGCATGTTAACCATGGATCAAGAACGGCGGATCAGTCCCGGAGAAGCGCTCCAGCACAGCTTTGTTACCCTCCAACACCTGCTGGATTATCCTCATTGTTCCAATGTTAAGGCTTCAATGCAGGTGCGTTAGGTTATGATGTATAATGTCCATAATGGGTTTTGATGTATAATGTTTATAATGGGTTATGTTAGGATGTATAATGTCTATAATGGGTTATGTTATGTTGTATAATATCTATCATTATTCCCACTATAAGGGGTAATATGTTATGTATAATGTCTATAATAAGTTATGGTATGATGTACATATAATGTGTCATTATTTTCACTATAATGAGTTATGTTATGATGTATAGTGTCTGTCATTATTATAATGTGTTATGACAAAAAACATTATCCATGGAGGCAAAGAAGGGAATTTATGAGAGTATAGTGGTACCAACACTCTTATATGGGTGTGAAGCTTGGGTTGTAAATGTTGCAACAAGGAGGAGGCTGGAGACAGTGGAGATGTTGCATCTAAAGGCAATGTATGGTGTAAACATTATGCAGAGAATTCGTATTGTGGAAATTAGGAGGAGGTGTGGAGTTACTAAAAGTATTATCCAAATGGCTGAAGAGGGGTTGTTGAGGTGGTTTAGTAATTTAGAGAGGATGGAGGAAAATAGGATGACTTGGAGGGTGTATTAATCTGTAGGGGGAAGGAAGGTGGGGTATGGTCTTCCTCAAAAAGGTTGGAGGGAGGGGGTAAAGGAGGTTTTATGGGTGAGAGGTGTGGACTTCCAGCAGACATGCATGAGTGTGTTAGGAGTGAATGGAGACAAATGGGTTTTGGGATATGACGAGTTGGAGTGTGAGCAGGGTAATATTTTGTGAAGGGATTCAGAGAAACCAGTTAGCCAGACTTGAGTCTTGGAGGTGAAAAGTACAATGCCTACACTATAAAGGAAGGTGTTTGGGATATTAGTAGTTTGAAGGGACATTTACACTGTTGTATCTAAGCGCCTCTGCAAAGACAGTGATTATGTATGAGTGATGGTGAAAGCATTTCTTTTTTGGGTCACCCTGTCTTGGTGGGAGATGGCTGACATATTGAAAAAAAAAGTTAGTGAAAGTATATGATAATAATGGCATTATATTTGTGAAAATATCAGTGAAAGTTAATAATAATGTGGTCATTATACATCTCAGCAGATGATGGAGGTGTGCCGGCGGCCGGCTCCAGCATACGCCACAGCTGCCACGGTTTCCCAGGCTCAGGCGCTCCCGCCCTCACTCATGCCTAACTATGTTCATTCCACCAATGGTTCTGTCACTCTCACTTTCAACAATCAGATCACCAATCAGGTGTGTGCTATTGTGATGGTAAACACTCAGACAGCATGACTTTTATTTAATAAGATCACCAGTCAGATGTGTGCCATTGTCTTGTGAAGGTAGACACTCAAATAACTGATGAATTTTATTAAATAAGATAAGCAATCAGGTGCATATCATTGTCTTGTGGTGGTAGACACTTAGATGACTGATGACTAATACATTTACTTAAAGGAAAGGTAGTAAATACTTATATCTGTATTAGCTAATAAAATGATTGCAGTAGATATTTTAGTTTCAAAATAGAGAGTAGATTTATTAAAGCAAAGATATTGACTGCCTTTATCTTTAATAATTGATAATAAAAGTAGATTTACTTTGAGAATAGATTTATACACTTTAAGGTATTGGTTATTAAAAATGGGTTGCCCCCCACAGTATGGGTTGTACCAAGGGAGTCGCAGCGGACGAGGCTACAGTGGCAGCAGTCGAGGAGAAGCCGCGGCAGCGGCTGCGGCGGCGGCTAGCTTCCAGCCACAGCTGGTGTCGTCCATCCTTTGTCCGCCGCCATACCAAGGTCTGGCGTCCCCGGGCAAGCATGTCACGGTAGTGACACAGCAACCACAACTTCAACTGCAGCCTTCTCTGCTCCCCCAGCAGGTCAGCAGACAGTCCCTTCACTCAATTCACTAAACCTGCACCTAGGAGAGAAGGGTATGGCCACATTTTGATCCAGATTTGACCGTATACAAATGCAGTTGGACAGAAATGTGGTCATTAGTTTCTTCTGTATGTGAATTATTTGTTTATTCCAATTGGACAGAATTGTGTATTGTTCGAAGTGGGCAGAATTGTGTATTGTTCCAATTGGACAGAAATGTAGTCATGAGTATCTCCTATATGTGAATTATTTGTGTTTTGTTCCAGTCATGTTTCTTTATCAGTTATGGCTGTCCTCTTATTGGTACATTCCTTATCGATGCACTGCACAACCCACACATAGGAGAGAGAAACATATGGCAACATTTTGGTCTTATTTAGACCATATACAAGTCCAATCAGCCAGAAATGTGCTCATTAGTTTATGCTATGTGTGGATTATTTGTGTGCTGTTCCAGTCATGATATTGTGACTTTCTGTACTTTTTCGATTGTGTTTATTCTCTTATTGGTGCACTCTCCTCTTTTATAAATCTCTTCTATGTATCGGGGAACGGGTAGTGATTTGAACCATGGCTAGTAAGTTCTAAACCTCACAGCTACATTTCTACATTGGTGTGACTTTTTAGTAAGAGCAGTTGATCATGTAGAACTAGAATTGTATAGCATGTGGAATGGTCTGCATAATGCTCACTATTGTGGTTCAGCTTTTGTAGTTGTAGTCACAAAAAATATTACATTATGTAGAGGAACTTTATAAGAGAACTAACTGTATATAGAGTAACTTTATAAGAGAACTTACAGTATGCAGAACATACAAGGTGGTGCTGTATCTTTGTTTCATGTACACAGGACACATACAATGCTTGTCAAGAGACGGTTGTTTAATTTGTGTGACATCTATTGTGGTTGTTATAGGTTGGCGGTGGTGGTCAGTATGTACCTGTCTCTATGGTGGAGCAACCAGGACGTGGCATGTTGTTGACAACTGGTGCGGCAGTGGGCGGAGGATGGGGTCGTGGCGGCCAGATGGCCCTGGTTCCCGGCGGCTGGCAGCAGCTGCCACAGCCACCGACTTCTCTGCAGCAACCAGCCAGTCTCCTGCCTGACGCCACAGATGCCTGGCGGCGGACATTCCTGGTTGACTCGTCAGTGGTGCAGGGAGATGCACCACCCGCCATGTTTCCGGTGGACCTGCACCCAGAGCTCTACGAGGCTTACCCGTCTGGCACCTGGGCGGGTAGCAAGCGCTCGAGCAAAGCCTCATTGCTGAGCCACTCCGGCGCACACGCTGCCCACACCCTCCATGTGGGCGGTCGACCAACACAGCCGCCTGCACACGACAAGAAAGATCTGAGCCAGCAGCTGTCACCCGTCAAGAAGCGGGTGAAGGAAGGTACACCGCCAGGTGCGTCATCTACACACTGGGGCGGCAGTGGCACAGCGACACAACTCAACCATAACTACCACAACAATCATGTGTAAGTAACAACTACCACAACAATCACATGTAACAACTACCACTACAGTTATATGTAACAACTACCACAACAATAATATGTAACAACTACCACAACAATAATATGTAACAACTACCACAACAATAATATGTAACAACTACCACAACAATCGTATGTAACAACTACCACAACAATCATATGTAACAACTACCACAACAATCGTATGTAACAACTACCACAACAATCATATGTAACAACTACCACAACAATCGTATGTAACAACTACCACAACAATCATATGTAACAACTACCACAACAATCGTATGTAACAACTACCACAACAATCATATGTAACAACTACCACAACAATCGTATGTAACAACTACCACAACAATCATATGTAACAACTACCACAACAATCGTATGTAACAACTACCACAACAATCATATGTAACAACTACCACAACAATCGTATGTAACAACTACCACAACAATCATATGTAACAACTACCACAACAATCGTATGTAACTACTACCACAACAATCGTATGTAACAACTACCACTACAATAATATGTAACAACTACCACAACAGTAATATGTAACAACTACCACAACAATAATATGTAACAACTACCACAACAATCGTATGTAACAACTACCACAACAATCGTATGTAACAACTACCACAACAATAATATGTAACAACTACCACAACAATCATATGTAACAACTACCACAACAATCGTATGTAACAACTACCACAACAGTCATACGTAACAACTACCAAAACAATCATATGTAACAACTACCAAAACAATCATATGTAACAACTACCACAATATGTAACAACTACCATAACAATTATGTAACAACTACCATAATCATATATAACAACTACCATAACAATCATATGTAACAACTACCACAATATGTAACAACTACCATAGCAATCATACATAACTACCATAACAATCATATGTAACTACCACAACAATCATATGTAACAACTACCATAACAATCAAATGTAACAACTACCACAACAATCATGTAACAACTACCACAACAATCATATGTAACAACTACCACAATATGTAACAACTACCATAATCATATGTAACAACTACCACAACAATCATATGTAACAACTACCACAACAGTCATATGTAAGAACTACCACAACAATCATAGGTGACAACTACCACAACAATCATATGTAGCAACTACCACAACAATCATATGTAACAACTACCACAACAGTCATATGTAACAACTACCACAACAATCATATGTAACAACTACCACAACAATCATATGTAACAACTACCACAACAATCATATATAACTACCACAACAGTCATATATAACTACCATAACAATCACATAAAACAACTACCACAACAATCATATGTAACTACTGCAACAATCATATATAACTACCACAACAATCATATATAACTACCATAACAATCACATAAAACTACCACAACAATCATATGTAACAAGTACCATAACAATCATGTAACAAGTACTTCAACAGTCATATATAACTACCACAACAATCATATGTAACTACCACAACAATCACATAAAGCAACTACCACAACAATCATATGTAACAAGTACCACAACAATCATATGTAACAAATACCACAGCATTCACATATAACTATTACAATCACATATAAATAACAAGAACAAGATGAACACCAATAATAATAATTAATGTATGTTTCAGTCATCATTCAGCTCACCACGGGAGTCATCACCAGGGTCATCCTCACCATCCAAGTCATCACTCTACCCACCACTCCACCCACTCCTCCAGTCATCACCCGGTGATACATGGCAGTCACTCCAACCACACCAGTCATGTCAGCGGCGGCACAGGTGGTGGCGGCGGCAGTCACAGCTCTCATACAGGTGAGGAAGTCACAGCTCTCATACAAGTGAGGAAGTCACAGCTGTCATACAGGTGTATCAGTCACAACTGTCATACAGGTGCATCAGTCACAATGTAAATGTGTTGGTTGTGTCACGTTGTTGTAGAGCGGGGTTCAATGATAAGGCTTCGGAGGCTTCTTTATTTGTGAGATAGTGGGTACACAGGCAATGTGTTTGTGCCCATGGCCCAGGAGTGCCATGCCCACGAGGGAGAGAGGAGTAGGCCTTGTTGACTGAGTGAAGGCCACAGAGAGTGAAAGAGAGGCAGGTCTGGGCATACTGAAGTGGCATAGGCCTATAGGTGTCAGCATGAGCATGGCGCGTAATACGAACTCAGCTGGTAGACAGCATAGGCTGTCTGTGCACAGTACAGGCTGTCTACATTCACTCGGTCATGCACACCATGGTCGACCCTGATCATGACTGGCAGTAAAAAAAAAAACTCGGTCTCTCTTTCACAGGAACAGGGCACAGGACACAAAATAAAAACATATATACATGTCACCCTGTCTCGGTGGGAGATGGCCGACTTGTTAAGGAAAAAAAAAATATACATGTGGACATGGAAAATAAAACTTCCTACAGGGAGGGAGGAAAAAAAGGTGGGGTGTGCTAAACATTGTGGTCTAAGACAGTGAGTGTTGATGGGCATCACTGCACACCTTCCTGCGTCTGGACAGATATTGCAACACAGGAGACATCGCTGCAGCTGAGCTTTGATGTAACAGGGTACGGTCTCTTCTGGAACAGTGAAGTAGTCATCGTAGGAGTTGCTGCAGGGTTCACTCAACCTGGGGCACAACCTGCTGGTGCCCTCGAGTGAGGCATCGTCAGTACTCGGCAGCTGGCAGGACTTCTGGCAAGCGACTCAGGAGGACATTTCTCGACTGGTACTGTTGCTGGAGCTGTCACTGCCGGCGAGCGTGGAGTGAGTCGTGGCAGGGATGACACGGTAAAACATCTGAAGTGAGCAGTCTAGCAGTCAAAGTGACATCATCTTTGTGCAGGCTGCTCACTGAAGCTTGTGACACGAGGCTGACACAGCACCTGCCGACAGGGTCTAACTGCGGCTTGATGAGTGTCATTCTCTCGGCAGTTGGAGTTATAGCAGAGGTTAGTCTAAGCGTCCCCAGACTGGTTTACATATAACTGCTCTGAAGGTCAGGAGGTGAAGTGAAACAAATCTCGATGGGAATCGTAGCAGATATGATTCTGCAGGGCATCATGACCGGCGAACATAAAAAGCTTTCTGTACAAAAGGGCTCAGATGCTCTGGACTGCCAAACACATGGGTCACACCAGGTGACAAGTAACACGAGGTGCTATACAGTGGTCTGGGCGCAGACCTGTGGTCCACACGCAGCTGGGCTCAAGACCACACAGGACACACGGAAAACTGTACACACCTGCACTGTACATGTGGTACAACAGGGCTTACTAGCAAATGATGCTTTTCTATGCAAAAATCAACACTAAGCCATACACGAACATGTGAGAACACTGACTGAGAGGATTTAATTAACACTGGACATAGCTTCTCTCAGTCTTCTCAATAATACTTAAAACAATTTGCTCACTGTGAAAACATTCAATGTGACATCATGTGGTGATGTCAGGCGTGACTTCGTGAGGTGATGCCATGGGATGACATCGCGAAGTGACAGCAGACATCTCGATGTGATGTCCTGGAGTGACACCATGAGGGATGTCATGGGGTGACATCGCAAGGTGATGTCAAGCAAACATTGTGACGTCGTGAAGTCGGGCAGCATCGTGGGTGACGTCAGTGGATTGATGCGGCAGCAGACCACAGCATGTGGCTTGGGACATCTGGCTTGGTAACCCATGTGGCTTGTAGATCCACGTGGCATCGTCCACACCCCATGTGGCTTCGTGATCCACGTGGCTTCGTCCACACATGGCTCTGTCATCTATGTGGCTTGCTGATCCACGTGGCTTTGTGATCCACGTGGCTTCGTCCACACATGGCTCTGTCATCTATGTGGCTTGCTGATCCACGTGGCTTCGTGATCCACGTAGCTTCGAGTGGCCTTGGGCACTCCGATACACAGCTCTGGCAATGAATTCACACAGAAAACAGCAGAAAACACAGCAGAGAGGGTGAGTACATGGTGGGGAATGAGGTGTGAGTGAGGCGAGGAACCCGGCTGCTTCCTCTCCCACATACCCACTTGGAGAAACACCCACACTGGATGCTGAAATCACCACAAACTCACCTCTGACTTGCTGAAATAGCTGTGCAAAGCTGAAAACAACAGCAGAACATACTGGTAATGCTGAACACGTGACCTGAGAAACAGTGTGGGGCTCTGTGAAGTGTCAGGTGACTCCACTTACATTTCTTGAAGAAATTTGGCAAATTTCGGCTAGGATCCTGCTTGTACCTGTGTCTGGATGCTGAAATGTGCAGACACGACATCAGGATAGCTCGTTGAGAGACGGATGCTTCTTGTGTGGGGTGATGAAGTGAAGACGACTTCATTCCTCTTCCTCTCTCCGGGCAAACACACTTGCTGTGAGGCACCGCTGTCACCAATTGTAAAATGTCTCTGTCACCAATTGTAAATACCACTGCCACCAATTGTAAATGTGTTGGTTGTGTCACATTGCAGAGCGGGGTTCAATGATAAGGCTTTGGAGGCGTCTTTATTTGGAATGTCGTGGGGGTACACAGGCAGTGTGTTTGTGCCCATGGTCCGGGAGGGCCATGACCGCGAGGGAGAGAGGAGTAGGCCTTGTTGACTGAGTGAAGTCCGCTGAGAGAGTGAGAGAGAGGCAGGTCTGGGCAGGCAGCACGAGCATGGCGCGTAATATGAACTCAGCTGGCAGACAGCATAGGCTGTCTGTGCAGACAGTACAGGCTGTCTACAACAACTGTCATACAGGCGTCAGTCACAACTGTCATACAGGTGTGTCATTCACAACTGTCATACAGGTGTGTCAGTCACAACTGTCATACAGGTGTGTCAGTCACAACTGTCATACAGGTGTGTCAGTCACAACTGTCATACAGGTGTCAGTCACAATTGTCATACAGGTGTCAGTCACAACTGTCATACAGGTGTGTCAGTCACAACTGTCATACAGGTGCATCAGTCACAACTGTCATACAGGTGCATCAGTCACAGCTGTCATACAGGTGTGTCAGTCACAACTGTCATACAGGTGCATCAGTCACAGCTGTCATACAGGTGTGTCAGTCACAGCTGTCATACAGGTGTGTCAGTCACAGCTGTCATACAGGTGTGTCAGTCACAGCTGTCATACAGGTGTGTCAGTCACAGCTGTCATACAGGTGTGTTAGTCAACTGCCATACAGGCATGTCAGTCACAACTGTCATACATGTGTGTCAGTCACAGCTGTCATACATTTGTGTCAGTCACAGCTGTCATGCATGTGTGTCAGTCACAACTGTCATGCAGGTGAGGAAGTCACAGCTGTCATACAGGTGTGTAAGTAACAGCTGCCATACAGGTGTGTCAGTCACAGCTGTCATACAGATGCACCCAGCCTCTAGTGGTAAGTGTTGCTGTATTGCATTGTATTGCTGGCACCAACAGTCTTGTTGACCAGGTCATCAGTAAGGAACTAGGGAAGCCTGGTTTTCCATTGGTTTCCCTGAATCCCTTCATATATGTTACCTTTCTCACACTCCAACAGCTCATCAAATCCCAAAAACCATTTGCTTCCACTCCTGTCTAACACGCACACATCTGCTGGATGTCCAAGACAATGTCTACTGTTGATTCAATATTAGACATCCAGCAGGTGTGTGTGTGTGTGTGTGTGTGTGTGTGTGTGTGTGTGTGTGTGTGTGTGTGTGTGTGTGTGTGTGTGTGTATGTGTATGTGTGTTGTGTATGTGATGTGTATGTGTGTGTGTGTGTGTGTGTGTGTGTGTGTGTGTGTGTGTGTGTGTGTTGTGGTGTGTGTGGGTGTGTGTGTGTATGTATGTATGTGTGTGTGTGTGTGTGTGTGTGTGTGTGTGTGTGTGTGTGTGTGTGTGTGTGTACTCACCTAGTTGAGGTTGCAGGGGTCGAGCCCAAGCTCCTGGCCCCGCCTCTTCACTGGTCGCTACTAGGTCACTCTCCCTGAACCATGAGCTTTATCGTACCTCTGCTTAAAGCTATGTATGGATCCTGCCTCCACTACATCGCTTCCCAAACTATTCCACTTCCTGACTACTCTGTGGCTGAAGAAATACTTCCTAACATCCCTTTGATTCATCTGTGTCTTTAGCTTCCAACTGTGTCCCTGTGTTGCTGTGTCCAGTCTCTGGAACATCCTGTCTTTGTCCACCTTGTCAATTCCTCTCAGTATTTTGTAAGTCGTTATCATGTCCCCCCTATCTCTCCTGTCCTCCAGTGTCGTCAGGTTGATTTCCCTTAACCTCTCCTCATAGGACATACCTCTTAACTCTGGGACTAGTCTTGTTGCAAACCTTTGCACTTTCTCTAGTTTCTTTACATGCTTGGCTAGGTGTGGGTTCCAAACTGGTGCCGCATACTCCAATATGGGCCTAATGTACACGGTGTACAGGGTCCTGAACGATTCCTTATTAAGATGTCGGAATGCTGTTCTGAGGTTTGCCAGGCGCCCATATGCTGCAGCAGTTATTTGGTTGATGTGCGCTTCAGGAGATGTGCCTGGTGTTATACTCACCCCAAGATCTTTTTCCTTGAGTGATGTTTGTAGTCTCTGGCCCCCTAGACTGTACTCCATCTGCGGTCTTCTTTGCCCTTCCCCAATCCTCATGACTTTGCACTTGGTGGGATTGAACTCCAGGAGCTAGCTGCTGGACCAGGTCTGCAGCCTGTCCAGATCCCTTTGTATTTCCGCCTGGTCTTTGATCGAATGAACTCTTCTCATCAACTTCACGTCATCTGCAAACAGGGACACCTCGGAGTTTATTCCTTCCGTCATGTCGTTCACAAATACCAGAAACAGCACTGGTCCTA